CACCTGCTTCTTGTGGTACTCCTTCATAGCCTTCTCGTAGCCCTCCTTCATCCTGGCAAAGGCAATCCCCACCTCGGTCGTCCACCAGATCTGGGTGCAGCAAAGAGCCACCTGTAAAAACAGGCTGCCTCAGTATCGGGGAAACACCAGAGCTTCCTCACATTTGGATGTCTGATCCACAGGGAGATCAAGGATGAAGATCTGTGACATAAGATTAAGTGTTTTGTCACATAGTGTCAAAGCACAGAGGAAGGGGGGACCTGTCCCATGACATCCACTTAACACCCTGTTGGGGGCAGACAGGTTTGGCAGCTGCTCCTTGGGAAATGAGCCCCTTTCCCATGTGTGGCAACATGGGAGGCTGAGCTGGAGAGCACGAGGCTGCCAGAGGGTCATCCAAGGGGCTCTTTCCTCTCATGAGGCCTCATCCTTTGTTCTCCTGTGGCACCTCTCACCTCTCCAGGTGTAAGGGCTTCCCATGACCCCCAGGATGCAGCAGCCACTGCCCAAGTCCCAGGAATGCATCCTGCCTGGAGCTCCAATCAGAGCGTGGAGCTCAGCCTGGGAATCCATCAAGAGATTGCCAGGAGAAAGGAGAACTCGCCCTTCCTCCTTCCTGGACAGCACAGCAGTGGCCAGAAACATCCCCAGGCATGGCCAGAGGCCACCACTGAAAGCAGGGAAGGGCAGGATGGAAGGGGAAGCCACAGCCCACCTTTCCCAGGAGCGCTGGCAGGTACCTGGGCAGGGTAGTCAAAGAGCCACTGCTCCCTCGGCTTCTCCTCGTAGGCCGTGACAGCCGCCGTCATCTCAGCCCTCACCGTGGCCCTCATGGTGTCCAGCAGGTGACTGAGCCACACCTCGACCTGCAGGACACATGAAACCCCAGGAACAGTTTGCTCCTCCTGGGTCATGAGCAGCCCAAGGGAGTGGGAGCAGCAGCTCAGCTCTCCAGTCCAACACCCCCCTCTGTCCTCCTTTGGACTGCAGGAGTCAGCCAGTTCTGCTCCTGCAGGATCAGCATCTCTTTCCAGACACCAAGGGAATGTGGCAGGTTGTGTGGAACTCCAGCTTTAGGAGGAACCAAAATGAACTCCACCGAGGAGCAATTCAGCTCAGCATGTTCCAGCTCCAGGCCATGACAGAGCCACTCGTGGGACTGAGCACAATCTGCCAGCAGCAAGAGAGAGCCTGGGCACACAATTCCTGCTGAATTCACTATTTCACAGGCAAAGCCCTCGCTGAGAGGACAGTTTAAATGCCAAGCTCCATCACCAGGGAGCTCAGAGCTGGTATTACATACTTTAGCTTCTTATAATAGTCCATGGAGAAAAGTGCAACTACAGGGACAGAAAAGCTGAGCAGTAGTCTGATTCTTCAATTTTGCACTTCAACTCATCCTATGAAAGAAGAAAGATTTGGAAAACAGGGGGAAAAACCCTTCTCTTTCCAAAGGCAGCCATGCAGAGGCACTATGGAATGGATTAATCTATTTTCAATATGCTTCCCTTCCCCAAATGAGAGGGTAAAAAAACCATCTTAAAATAATTAGAATAGAAATCCCCTTCCTTGCACTGTGGGCTGGGACACCTCTGCCCCACTGGGTGAGGACCCATCCAGAGTGGGACTAGAGCTGTGGTGTAAGGAGGGATTAAAGTCACACAGCACCTCTTCCAGACGTTCTCATTCATAAAGGAAGATCAGTGAAGCTCTGCAATGTCTTGGCCATTGATGCCACCCGAGGGGCAGGAGAGCAGATTCCACAGAGACTTGGAACACACAAGGCCCTCCCTCTCACCTGCCCACTGCAGTCACAGGGTTTGCTGAAAGGGACATATTCCTCCTCTCTGCTGTACATTCCCAGGCCAACCTTCGTTGCCTTTTGGTCAGAGTCCACCTGGAATTTCACCTTGGCCAAGCTGTCAAAAAGTTTGGAAAGATGACGCTGCACCTGCAAAAAGAATTGTAAAAATGAAGTGACAGAGACAGGACAAGCAGAACCGAGGTCACCCTGTATGTGACAGGCACAGGCACTTTCACAGAGCAAGGACTTGGGACAGCACCACACCTCCTCACCCATGGCCAGGATGCTGCCAGTGAAAGCCTCTTGCTGTCTCTCTCAGTACCTTCACCAATTTCTACCTCATTTAGACACAGACATGCCTTAACAAATCCTGAAATCTCCCCCACAGGAGAAAAGCTCATTCAAAGAAACCATTCAAACATCACATCATTCTCTAGTCCCAATTTCCCTCCATGTAGTGCAGAGAGATCTCCATCCATTGTTCCACCTCAACCTGTTCTCAGCACACTGTGGAGTTTTCTTCAGTAAGATCCTTTCTGCTTTTTCCCTCCTAGAAATCGATTTTGCTCTGAAGAAAAGCCCTGAATTTTTACTCCATGGAGAAATCAGATTTCTATTTCTGCCTAAGACACAGGATAAACAGCTCAGCATCCCACACCAAAACCCCCACCTTGACCAAAAGCACTTTTCCAAAAGGAACAGAATGATTCAGCCCTGTCCTGTTCACACCTGAATGAGTTTGCAAAGCCAAGGGGGAGACACCAGAACTGCTACTGAGGCTCCCACCACCAGCTGAGCAGGTCACTGGTGCTTCTTCTAGAGCAGGACATCACACCCAGCTAAATCCCTGCGTGTTACCCATCGCTGCAGCAAAGACAGGATTCTCCAGGACTGCTGTTCCCATGGGAAGGGCAGGTCCCAGAACTGTCCCAGGCAGGTGCAGGGCCTTGATTTGAAGCCATGTGAGGACACTGAGGGCACTTGGTGTGTTCAGCTGGAGCAGAGGAGACTGAGGGGAGACCTCACTGCAGTTCCAACTGCCTGGGCAGGGGCAGAGGAGGGGCAGGACTGAGCTCTGCTCTGGGGGGACCAGGGACAGCCCCCAGGGAATGGCTGGAGCTGTGTCAGGGCAGGCTCAGGGTGGATCTCAGCAAAAGGTTCTTCCCCCAGAGGCTGGTTGGGCACTGAACAGGCTCCCCAGGGCAGTGGGCACAGCCCCAAGGCTGCCAGAGCTGCAGGAGGGACAGGGTGGGATTGCTGGGGTGTCTGGAGTTGGACTTGATGATCCCTGTGGGTCCCTTCCAGCTCAGGTTGTTTTATGATTCTGTGACTTGTTTGTTCAGTTCTCATTCACTGAGCCCCAGAGGATTCCAACCTTCCTCATGAGGTCCCAGTGGAAGACACAGCTCATCAATCTTCTTACCTGTGATCAAACAGGGCCCAATCCTGGAAGATGCAGAGTGGATCAAGAAGCAACAGGCACTCAGCCTCCTCCCAGATAAGCACATTTCCTTTCAAATCTCACAGAAATCACAGAAACCTTTTCTTATGCCTGGAAGTTTCTGCTCAGCAATCCCCAGTGTCCATTGCCAGCCCCTGGCCTGTCTCAGGGCTTTGGCTGTGCTCCAGCACTGGAGCATTCCTGCCATTGGAGCCTGGAATACACCTGACTCTGCCCCAGCTCAATATCCAGTTCAAGTGGATAAATATCATTGTGTATTTAATCCTCCTTTAGGAATTATCAGGCTTTGAAACTACAGTGGAAAGGCTGAGAGTGTATCCAGGTATGATCCCACTTGACATTTGCTTTGATTTTACTGCAAATAGTTTTGAATAACAGAAAGCACCAGGAATTTCTTCTTACTCCACAGAGCATTTCAGCACAGTAGCTTTCCTCTGCTTCCTGTGTTTTCCTTCTCTCCATTTTAAGTATCAATCAGCTGTGTATTTGTGACACTCTGTGGGCTGAAATCACCCAGCAGCAGAAAACAGATCCGAGCAGAGTTTAAGTTTAGAGGCAACAACAGCGTTTTTAAACCTGCCCCATTCATGTGCTCACATGAACACAGAAAATGAGGAAAAGCTTAAAGGAGGAGAGATTACTCACTCCTGAAAGGTGGGATAAGGAATTGTTGATTGGGTTTACACACCAGTGATGCCTCACAAACCAGGCAACAGCATTGCCAGGCAAAGCAGCTGAGGATTCCTGGCACAGCTCCAGCAGCACCAATAACCAACCCCAACACTGCTGTGCTCCATATGGAAAAGCACCCTCAGGACTGAACCCTCTGAGCTCTGCCCACGGGGGGTAGAGGTGCCTGATCCTTGGAAACAGCAGGAAGCCATTTCCTACAACAGGAAGTTTCCTACCAGTCCCTCCCCAGGATGGCCCAGCAATATCCCCCCAGCTGGCACTCAGGCACCATCCCAGGAGCCAGCCTGGGGCACAGCAGCCTCCTCAGTCAGTGGTGCAGGGGGTCAGACACACAGCCTGGCCCTGGGCCATGGCCAGGGTGTGACCAGCACCCACTTCACCCCCTTCAGGTGCTGTGCCTCTCTCCCCCTACAATCAGCCACCCCAAAGCACTTTGCAGGGGGGGAGGAAGAAGCAGTCACCAGCAAATGCCTTTTCTGCCCTAAAAAAGGGACCTCTCCAAGCCACCAGTGATTCAGCACTTCCACGTTGGAGTGACCAGACTGTGGCTCTTCCAACAGCAGATGCTGTTTAGTGGTTGGGATCCAAGGTCAGCAACGAGTTTTGGATGAGATCTTCGAGGTGGTTTCCTTCAACCTCGCTGTGTCCCAGCAGAAACAAACCCCCGGTTTTTATGGCACCAAAAGCACAGCTCTGCTCAGTGCAGAGCTCCCAGAACCTTCCACAAGCAGCACCAGAGTTAGATCAGAAAACACCCAGGGCATGTGCTGCCTATCCAGAGCAGATGAAAGTCAGCCATGAAAGAGTTATTAATCCACATCAGGGTGGGAGAAAAAGTCCTCCAGAAAGGACACTGCAGAGTCCCAAGACTGCACCTTCCACTGTGACACTACTGAGAGCTGCAAAATGCAAAGCTGATGCACTCCAAGACTTACCAGGTGTGGGTTAGTGCCATTGGAAAGGATATCCAATAAATCTGCAGAAGAAATGAAGTAAAATCTGGGAAAGGCCAACCTCTTCCTGTCCAGATATTCAGCCAAAGCCTTCTCACACAGAGACAACCTGTGGAGACAGAGCAGGTGAACAGAGCCCAGGACAGGGGGTACATATCTTTGTACACATCTTTCCATGCTTCGTGATGCCCTTTGGGTTATCAAGCAGCTTCTCCCCACCATGGGGAAACCCAAGGCACAAGCTGAGCCCGCAGCTGCCTTCCAGCATTCCTTGAATAGATCAGCACAGCACAAAGTAACTCACAGCTCACTCTCTGCTCCAGGGTCAAACACTCAAGAGCCAGGGCAGCCTCATAAAAAAGCAGAAACACAGGTGGAAGAAGAGGTTGGAAAGATTTGCAGTCTGACCTACTGTTTTAGACAAGCTCTAAACTGCCACAGGTGGTTTCACGCTGGGATGAACATTTCCAGAACAGCTTTTATTCTAATGAGCCACATTTTAAAGTCTGATTCCAACCAACTCAGCTTTTTGTGTTTGCAAAGCATGAAAGGAAACTAGTTTGCTCCGATCTAAAATGAATCTTGCAGTGTTCACATGCTAAACTGCTGCTGAGCTTACAAAGTTCCTAAATAACATTCTCTGTGAGGAACAGTGGCCTTATCCAATTGAAAATAAAATCCAATCTTTATTTGAAATGGAGAGCTGTTACTGCCAGAACAGCTCCACGGGAACTTTGAAGGGTGTTTCAGGTGCATTCATATGTTAAGTGAACAGTGACTCCATCTCAGGACACTCAGGTCTTTCCCAGGGAGCTATTATACCTTGTGTCACACACAGGGATAATTCTGTCAATTAAAGAACATGGGCTCAGCTCTGCTGCAGATATCATGGAATGGTTTGGGTGGGAAGGGACCTTTAAAATCCATCCAGTCCCACTCCCTGCCATGGGCAGGGACACCTTCCACCAGCCCAGCTTGCTCCAAGCCCCATCCAACGTGGCCTTGGACACTTCCAGGGCTGGGGCAGCCCCAGCTTCTCTGGGCAACCTGTGCCAGGGCCTGCCCACCCTCAGAGGAAGGATTTCTTTCCAGTATCCAAACTAAAGATTCTCTCCTCACACCCCTCTACAGCTGTTTCAGTCACTGTATTTGGGTAGCAGTGAGGACATGAGCTGCTCAAACCACCTGGATGGCCCTGAACGTGTGCAAATCAATAGTGAGGATGAGAATTTGCCCCTAAACAAAGCCCAACTCCACTCAGGGGCTTCAGGGTGATGGGTCACAAGCAAAAAGACTTGAGAGAGATCAGGAGGGCTGAGATTTGTGAATGCAGATAATGCACAGCCTCGGAAACAGCCTTGGAGCACAGTATAAACCAATTTCTTGGAACTGATTCCCTCTGACAAATTCCTGGGACTGACTTTCTACCTACCTCCTCTGAATGTCCTCTAGTTGTTGGGACAGACCTGGTTTATTGGTGGCCTCAACTACATTTGGGGTTTTCTGAACTTCATAGGCCAGTTCTTTAAAATCTGCATCAATCCCTTCAAAGCACTTGGAGTCCTGCAAAGGGACACAAAGGACACAGTCACAGTGACACAGAAACTGTGCTGAGAGATCTCATCCTCTGGGTGTGGCTTTGGGATGAGGGCAAAGCTCCTCTGCAGAGCCTTCTGGCCAGTGCAGAGGGGACCCCTCCTCCATTCCCCAAGGGCTCTCCCCACCACGTGCCTGGAACAATTCCCCAGTCAGGCCTTTGCCTTCTCATTGTATTCCAAAGGGGCTGTGGATAAAGTGATCCTGTGCAGGAGCCAATCCCTAGGACCACCCATTTCCAGGGGATTGAATTCCCCTTTGAACAGCTCCTCCTAACTCTTCAGCTCCCATGTCCAGATGAAATGCCCATTTTCCCTGATCACCACTGCCCACCCTGATGTGGGCACAGTGGCTGGAAGAGCAGAGCCCTTCCTTGCCTGGAGTGGGGCCATGGAATCCCAGATGACCAGCAGAGGAGCTCCCTGACACCCAACAGAGACCCTGAATTTCTGGAGCTAAATAGTGAAAAATAGATAAGCTATGTTCAAAATGTCCCTGCTCCTCCTTTCTTCCCAAGTTGAGCCTCCTGAGTGAGACAGGACTCTGAATAAAAGTGCTCCAAGCTCTCCTGGGAACACTTCCACTTTTACCTGTGTTAAGCCCCCTTCAGTGGCTGAAGTCACGCATGGAATCATAGAATAATAGGATGGTTTGGGTTAGAAGGGACCTTAAAGATCATCCAGATCCTCTGCCTTCATTAGACCAGGTTGCTCCAAGTCCCACCCAGCCTGGTCTTGGACACTTCCAGGGATGAGAATTCCACAACCTCTCTGGGCAACCTGTGCCAGGGCCTCAACACCCTCACAGGGAAGAATTTCTTCCCTAATATCAAAACTAACCCTGCCCTCTGTCATTTTGAAGCCATTTCCCCTTGTTCTGTCCCTCCATCCCCTGTTCCAAGTCCCTCTCCAGCTCTTCTGGAGCCCCTTTAGGCACTGGGAGGGGTTCTAAGGTCTCCCCAGAGCCTTCAGTTCTCCAGGCTGAGCACCCCCAGCTCTCCCAGCCAGCTCCAGATGTGCATCCTGGCCCTGTCAGCACAGACTCCCCAGCACTGCCTGGGCCACCTCTGGTTTGATAAGTGGTCACAGCACCAAGGCTGACAGAGCTCAAGGAGTGTTTGGATAATCCTCTCAGGCACAGGGTGTGACTCCTGGGCAGTGACAGGTGGGCCTGTGCAGGGCTAAGGGTTGGACTCGATGGTCCTTGAGGGTCTCTTCCAAATCACTCTGGGATTTGCAGTGCCTGAGTAATTCTCCCAGTGCTCTCCCCTCCGAGGGAAGAGAGAACACACCTGCAGCACTGAAGGAACCAGCAGCCTCCTGCTCAGCCCCAGCAACTCTGCATTTACCATGCAGCAGTGGAGGGGAGCAAATCAGCCCCTCAGCACGGCTCAGGCACAGCCTGTGGTACAAAAACATCCCAGGGAAAACCACAACAGCACTAAGGGAGCCTCCACAGGGCAAAGCAGCAGGAGAAAAGCCCTGCTTGGGGCAACTTGGCCCTATAGATAAACCTATTTAATAATGGAGGCTCTTCTCCAACACTTTCCAAAGAGGAAGCAGGATCTGAGGTCTCCTACCTGGGGCAGCTGTGCCCGGATGTCCTCTGAGCCTATGAAGATGCCCTCCAGGTGACACCACGTGCGCTGCACCTCAAACCAGAGGGACAGGACAGCATCGGCGGTGGAGAGCTGCCTCTGCCAGGCAGACACCTCCTCCAGGAAGAAAGCAATGTATTTGGATGACATCAAGTTCTGCAGCTGCACCTGGTTGTCTTCCAAAGTTTCAATAAGCCCCTCATCTGACTTCAGCAAGGGGACGTTGGTGCGGGAGTGAGGCTCGTACTGGAACTCCCTGGTGCTCCAAGTCACTCTCAGCTCCTTCAGCACTTTCTCCATGCTCATTTCTCGCACTGCTTTGTCCACAATTCCATGGACCTCACCCTCAAATTTATGCAGGTTGAGCTTGAGGAGGTCAGCCAGCGTGGTGTCCGAGTCCATCACAAACCTCACACCCGTCATCTGCATCAGCTGGTTCCAGTGCCTTTCTCTGATGGCGGGGTTTTGAAGTTCTGCCACTGCCTTCAGGGCTGTCAGCATGTTCTTCACCTTGCTCTCCAGCCCACTGAAAGCATCCCATGCCCTCATTTCTTTATCCAGATTCCGAATCTCTCTTGCAAACTTTCTACACTCCAGATCCATGTTTTCCACATTAATATCCACCCACTTGGTGGTCTGCCAGTCACTGAGGCTGGTGTTCACCAGGGAGATCATATCCCAGAGCTCTTTGAGAATACACAGCTCCTTCCTGCACTGCTTCAGTTGTTTATATTCTGGCACCGTGACTTCAAACAGACCAGCTGATTCAGAAATCGAGGCCATGGCTGACTCCATCTGTTTAATCTCCATGTGCTTTGTATCTAGCAGTTGATAAGGCTTCTCGGTGTCAAACCTAGAAATAAATGTTTGTTATTCATAAGTGATATTGTAATGACTTCTAAAGAAAACATAAACCAAACAGTGCCTCTGAGAGACATGGGAGAGATGAAAGGTCTGTAGTACACCTTGATGGTACTCCATGGCACTACAGATGCCACCTTAAAGTGATAATGTCCCCTCAGCATCCAAAGTGCTAGAACTGGACAGTGTTCCAGGGACACAGCACCCCAGGCACAGCACTGGGAGCAGGTGAGGAAGGGCTCTGCATCCTCAGGATGCACAGACACGAGCACATAGAGGTTTTTTTTCCCCTCAGGGCTGCTCTGATGGTATAACCTGTCCATACCTGAAGGGAGCTTCTCTCCCAAAGCTCTCCCTGAATTGTTGCTGCTGGGCGTCGAAGGCAGCGCAGCTCTGGCGCAGGGCGGTCATCTCGTTGGCCTGCAGAGGAGCCACGTGCTGCCTCACAGCCAGGGCCAGCTTCTTCACCTGGTTCCACTTCTCTGGCAGCTCCTGTGGGCAAAACAGAACTGCTAGGAGGCAGGACTTGCTGTTCAGGGTAAGATGTGCCTGGTCTGTTCACTGGTAACCACAGAACGGGAAAAGCAACAGATTCCATGTCTAGGACTGTAAGAAAGTTTTGTTGGGAAGCCTCAAGTTGTGCCTGGGGAGGGTTAGATGGGATATTAGGATAGAAAACTCACAGGAAGGGTTGCAAAGCATTGGCACAGGCTGCCCAGGGCAGTGGTGGAGTCACCATCCCTGGAAGTGTGCAAAAAACATGTGGATGTGGCACTTGAGGACATGGTTTAGTGGTGAACATGGTGGTGGTGCTGGGGTGAGATCTCAAAGGTCTTTTCCAACTTTAACAATTCAGTGATTCTATGAAAGGCTAAAGACACAATTTGGGATAAATATTCCCACTTATTCAAAATTTTGAACACTAATGAAGACCAAGACCCTACAACTGACTGTTCTGATTGTAAAAACTTGTTCATAACTACCAAAGAAGATCCCAGACTCAATCCTGGGCTCATGGGATGGTTCAGTGCTTAAGAGAGAACAGTGACTCTGACATCAAGCCCATCAGGGCCTGGAACCTGCTGGGAGCAGCTGAAGGCAGGAGAATGGATGTGGATGCAAACTCCTCTGGCTTCCCAGAGCTAAAGGAATAGAGCCTGGGACATTTCCTGCCAGGAGATGTTACACCAGGAGGACTCCAGGAAGCCTACAGGGCAAATCCCTCCAGGCTGTGTATACAACAATAGTACCAAATGAGACTGGTTTCTTTCTCAGCTCTGCATCCAACTCTGGGTGCACAGCACTGCTGTCCACCCCGCCTCCAGACCTGGCATTTTCTTCAGGAAGGGATTTTATTTCTCCTTACTGGGCCTTTCCTGCTTTCCTTCAGCCCCGGCACTGACACCAAGGGCTCTGCTGTCCCCAAGCCCCAGTGCTGTGCTCTCCCCACTTCCCCATGTACTGTCCAAGGAAATATTTTGGGTTTCTTTTCAGCCCAGTTCACATACCTGGGGAGATTAATGGAGACCCACCAACACTATGAAAAGAAGGGAAATAACTGAAGACAGCTCTGAGGCAGCAGAGGTGGCCAGAGTGGGGCTCAGAAGGGTCTCTCCCTGGTACATCTCATTCCAAACAGAAATCACTATCCATGACCACAGCAGGGCACACATGGAGCTGCTTCCTTTTCTCCTACTGCCTACCAGCTCCAGGCCCATCCATCTCCACAGACACACAAGAAGCAGTACCTGCAGGAACCACTGGCTTTCCCTCCCTATACAGCAACAAATGAATCATTCACACATGTGTTGCTGCCACTTGCCAGAAAGAACAAGTGGTTTTTGTTATCTCCTGCATCTGCAGGGCTGTCCCACATCCTCATTTCTTCTATGAGGAAAATGAATCAGTTGTTTGAATGTATTTGGACAAACAGACACCACAGCAGCAGCTCCTGGGCAGGGGGATTAGCAGAGCCAGGTTCCAGCTTCATGCTGGACTGAAACGCTGCAGCAGCCAGAATGCAATGCAGCCCTGCTGGTGTTCAGGGGTCTGTAGGACCCCGGGAATCTTTAGGACTCTTAACTCTTCCAGATTTGGTGACTGACTCCCCACAGATCACGGCTGCACATGCAGAAAACCCAGGGATTGCTAAACCCCCTTTGGCTCCACCTGAGCCTGCAGCAGGGAACAGGAGCCTTTGCAAGGCAGGAACTCCTCCCCAGCAGCTCCTGCTTTAACCCTGTGCCCTACACAGACCCCCTGCCCACAGGGGTCCACAGGGTACCCATCAGCAGGCAGCCACACACTTCTCCACTGCATCCCCTGGGCTGCTTGTCTCTGTCCCCAGGGCTGGTTGGACACCTCACCATCATTACTAATCTTCATCTCACGGTCCCCTTTCCAGAAATGAAAGGAATTCCTAAAAGAAAACTGACTCATCATAGCCACATGTGGAAAGGTGACAAAATACTTTCATAACCTGCTCCCAGTGATGCCCCCTGGGCCAAGCAGATCTGGTGGTTCAGACACAGTGGAGGCCTGAAGTCCTGCGAGAAGGTAACTCCTCTGCCAACATGATCCTTCCCATCACCATCGTTGCCAAGAACCAGCTTATTTAAAAACAGTTATAATTGAACCTAATTAACAGATGTATTTGAAAATGCATTAATTTTGTTCAAGAGTAATCACTGGGAGTCGGAGCAGGCAATTCTATGTTTTTCATACATAACAAAAGGCTTAATCTCTGCTTTAAAAGAAAAATCTCAATATAAGTCCAAAATTTAGAGCTATTAAGGCACATCCTGCAGTAGCAAAATACTATCCACTGAGGCCCTCTAATGACAGGGAGCAGGGCCCTAAATATTCCTGCAATGCTCCTCGGCTCCTGTTCTCCTTGCCATCTGCTCCTTGGCAAACTGTGTGTCCACCACAAGTTCTCACCCACCTCCAGTTGCTGGTGGACTTCCCCTGGCACGTCCTGCTCGTAGGCTCTCAGCAGGTCAATGGTTTCCCTCAGGGGCTCGAACATGGCATCGGTGGCACCGTGTCGCTCCTTCACGGCCAGGAGGTGCCCCATGACCTCCACCAGGCCCTCGTAATCCCCCTTCTCCACCTTCCTGCTCAGCCCTTCCTCAGCAGTTTGGAGGAACTCCTCAAGGTCAGCCAAGCTGTGGAGCACAAAGCAGGGAGGCACAGAGTGAGAGCAGTTCCTGTGGAATTATTATCCAGCCTTCCACAGGCAGCTGGGCTGCCAGGGACAGGCACAGCCTGGCTATCCTTGCCCACTGCATGCTAAGAAGGGCAGCAGAACTGCAATTCATGCTCAAAAGGATCCCTGGATGTGGGACAGCTTCCTGCAAGGAACAGAAAGACAGGCTGGGACTTCTCAGGCTGGGGACAGGGGAGCTGAGCAGGAGTGTGACAGGGACATTGAGCTCAGGGGGATCTGGAGAGGTGCCTTTGAGAGGACAGTCTGTCCTGGGAGGGTGGGCAGGCCCTGGCACAGGCTGCCCAGAGAAGCTGTGGCTGCCCCAGCCCTGCAAGTGTCCAAGGCCAGGTTGGAGCAACCTGGGCTAGTGGAAGGTGTCCCTGCCCCTGGAAGGCTGTGGGGCTGGATGACCTCTAAGATCTCTTCCAAACCAAATCATTCCATGATTCTGTGACAGTTTTCACCCTATCTCTTCCAATAGAAGAATCCAATCTTCCCAGATGAACCTGGCAGGTTGCAAAGCTCCAACAAACAGGGATTCTCTTTCATACACTGCCTCACTTCACAAGGCAACTCCCTCCCTGCAGGTGGAGGGTGCAGGTGATACAAACTCACAGCAATTCAGAAAAGCAACCAGACATTTGTGAGAGGGAAAAAATCCACCCAGGTCTTTAAACAAAGGGATGATCCCTGTCTCTCAAAGTCCTTGAGCCATAAATCATCAGAGACAAGGAGAGTGTTTAGAGGATGTTTCCATACCTGTTTACCCTGTTCTTAACCTCACCAGCTACTGGGTACTTTTAGCAGAAGCACAGTGGGCTCCCATGTCTCTGGTCCTTCCCAGCACATCCATTGTCCACCTCTCAAAGCACTTACTTTTTAAGTGCCCACTTCAGTTCTCTGGATGCAGTTGGGCCTAAATGCATCCTTAAATACTTCACCTAATAAAGACTAAACTGCTGAGTCGGGGACTCTCAATAAGAGCTCCTAAATGCACCTTCACAGCTACACAAAAACCTCTTTGCACAGGAATTATCAAACAGAATATGGTGCTGGAAAGACACAAGAGATCGTATCACCACCCCACGCAGCTGCCTCCACTGCAGATGTCTGTGAACACTTCTCTGGGAGCAACCCAGACCTGGGTCACCCTTCACAACTTCACTCAAGTTGTGACCAGTAAATGAGCTGGGGCATCATCCTGCACAGACCTGGTGGCTGAGCAGCTCTTCAAAGCAGGGAATGTGTTCTTTCTCAACTTACAGCCCAAACTCCTCTTTGTAACCTGGAGCTACCTCCTCATGACAGGCTGCCTGAATTTGGATGCTTTCGGAAACCAAGTACCTCATGGCATTAATGCAGCTCTACTGATGGCCAACGTCTGATCCAACAAAGCAGGCCCAGAGCCCCAGGGGAGATGGGATTATTTGGCTCAGGATAATCAGGCAAACACATGCCCTGTCTAATGCCACACAGCAGGTCCCAGGGCCATTGGCTCAGGGATGTCAATGGTACCAAGTCCATGTCACTGATCCCAGTCTACATGCCAGCAGAGACCAGGGCATGGAAGACACAGGGATGTGATGGAGCTGGCATGAACCATGGACCCTTCTCCTGCACTAGCTATGGCAGTGGTCACAGCCCCAAGGCTGCCAGGGCTCAAGGAGCATTTGGACAACACTCTCAGACACATGGTGGGATTGTTGGGGTGTCCTGTGCAGGGCCAGGAGTTGGACTCGATGGTCCTTGTGGGTCCCTTCCAGCTCAGGGTATTCTATGACTCAGCTGGCTATCAGTGTGAAACAACAAAGCCCAGTCAAGACAGGAGGGATCCCCGGGCAGGTCCCAGGAGCAGAGGCAGGAGCAGCCCTCACCTGTGCGTGACGTGCTCCAGGAGGTGCTGCTTGAACACCAAGCTCCACCTTTTAACCTCATTCAGCAAGGCCGCCTTGAAAGGCCGAACGTCGACCCTCAGCCAGCCCTGGAAGGTGCTGAGGGGCTCCATGTGAGTCACCTCCTCGTGCAGCCCCTCGTAGAGGTCGATGTGCTCCCTGAACTGCTGCAGCGTGGGAAGCGCCTCCGGGACCGCGGCCTGGGCCTCGAGCTCGGCGGCCGTGAGGGCGCGCCCGTAGAGCAGGAACTGGCGGCTCAGCTCCCGCCGGTCCTCGCCGTACACGTGGGAATAGCGCTCCAGGGAACCGCGGAACGCGCAGCACGAGCTCACCGCGGCCTGCACGCGGAACAGCAGCTCCTGGCGCAGCTCAGCCAGCCCAGGCATCTCCTCCAGGTCTGCCTGGACAGGGGACAGAGCAGGGCAGGGGAGGGGAGGGGAGAGGAAATGGGAAAGAGAGGGAGGGGGAGAAGAGAGAGGGGAAAGGAGAGAAGAGAAGGAAGAGGGAAAAAGGGAGAGGGGGAGGATAGGAGGGGAGAGGAGAGCACAGTGAGGTGGGAGCAGTGTGCACCTTCTCACCCTCACACAGCATGGGGCAGTGCCACGGCCACAGACCTGGTAGTGGGGGAAGCCGCTGTGCGTGGCCAGCCGGGGCACCAGCGAAGAGATGTGGTAGATGCCGTTCAGGAGACTTTCCACCATGTCAGAGAAGCCATCGTGTGTGCCAGGGTCCAAGGATGGGTGAAATACCAAATCTGGGATCACCAAATCCAGCTGCACCTCAAACAGCGGAGCGAGCCCTGCCTTGGGATCTGGCAGGAAGGAACCAGGATCTTTCTCAAGGGGAGAAAAGGGATGTTGAGCCACCACTAACATCCTACCAGGAGATGCACACAGGACACCAGGGACAGCAGGCAGGTGGGATGGCAGACACCCACTCACAGGGTCCAGGGCTGCTGTGTCTGCACAACACGAGGAGATGCTGGCAAAGCAGCTGGTGTGGTGGTACCCACCAAAGAGAGTGGGGAACTGATGAGACACAAGTGATTTAAGGACTGGAAAACGTGCTGAGGAAAGCTTTAAAGAGACCAGGCTCTTCAGCTACCCCAAAGGGAGTCTGAGAGCTGAACAATTACAGCAAGTAAGTACTTGCAGACGAGAAAAACAACAGGAACCAAGAGGCTCTTTAATTTACTGGAGAAAGACATGAAAAAACCCTCAGCAACCAGAAACTTAAACCAGATGCAAATGTGACAATATGTGCAAATTTTTAACAAGATGCTGAAGAACTGGATGCAATTCTCCAACTCAGTGTGCCAGGAGGGAAGCATTCCTGGAGCTGTGCTTTAGTTGGACACAAACTACTCTCAGCAGAGGGAGGAAACCTCCCCAGTGGTCTTGGTCTGACCTAGTGGCTGCTGAGCCCAGCTCATCTCTTTGCAGGACTAATGCTCAGGGACTGAGGTTTCTTGTTCATGACTTTCATGAGCAGAACCAGCTCTCGAGACTCCCCACAAATGAAAGATTGTGTCACCTCGATGCTTTGGGCGTGGGAGGGTGGCAGATTGCTGAAGCCCAAGCCCAGACTTGGGAGGATGTCTCTGTTTTGTCTACCCATTAATCCCTGCAAATGATGAACATTCATCTCTATCCCTCCCCTCGAGGAATCCAGTGATGGAGTCACCCTCCCTGTCTGGAGGCTCCCCCAGAGACAGGGAAGGGACCCAGTGGAAAGCCAGGAAGGAGAGAACAACTTGTGGGCATGAGGGAGAGCACAACAAGAGACCTTCCCTTGGAGAGGCTGAGCAGCCACTGTGCCCAGGGGGCAGGAACCAGAGTCACCTGTGTTCTCCAGGAGGTACTTGAGCGAGCACTCGATGGCAGTGAAGAATCCATCCAGGACTATCTCATCCACATAATCCACATAGGCCTTCCAGGAGTCAGATGCTGGGTCTGCAAGTAAGAGGCTCTGGTTTTCCTGGAAGAAAAAGAAGATGCCTTCAAACACAGCAGGGCTGAGTCTGTTCTCCAAGAGAGCTGCCCACAGCTAAGCACTGACACCAGTGAGCCCATGGGAACCAGCCTCCTGGAGGGATGGGAGTAGTGAGGGTCTCAAAGGCTCATCCTGAGGCATGAAGAAATAGCTGGTTATCTTCAGAGCCCAAGGCCAGACAGCGACCCTCGGGAGAGGATTGGACATAAAACCATCTCCCTCCAGGCCAAGGGCTGCCCCTGGCATGCACAACACCTGGCACCAGGCAGGTGAGGAGCTGAGCTTTGGGTCTTCTCCTGGTCTGCAGAGGACTCTGAGCTCTATCAAAGATGCTGGGAAGCACCAAAGTTTGGGACAGCAGCTTTTCTCTTGTCACTCAGCTTCTCCCTCGACTGGCAGCATCACCTCCTGCTCCAAAGAGGGACAAGGAGTCTGAAATCCAAGGGTCAGCCCCAGCCAGCTGCCTCTGTTGGCAGGTAAGTACCTGGGAGAGCATTTTTCCTTGGAGCAGGATCCCAAACCCGATGCACCACTCCCCTCTAGTGGCTCCAGCAGCCAAGGCTGCAGCCAGACCCTTCCCTGGGCTGCAGCTGCTCCAGGTCCTGTCCTGAGCTGGGGCCCAGCAATGCCAGACCACAGCCCCACACCCCCAGTCCAGCTCACCCATCAGAGCCAGCATTAATTAACACTGGGTAAGATTTTCAAATGTTTTAAAGGAGCTCATTTAAGGTGCAGCAGCTCTGCACATTTTCACTGGCACAGGGACACACAGAGCCTGTGAGGAGCCAACAAACCCCAGGGAAAGTCCCCCTCACCTTCAGTAGGGAGTGGATCCTCTGCCCAGCCTCTTTGACCAGGCTGTAGTGTTTTTCCAGGTGATCCTGACAGTCCTCCAGGCTCAGCACTGAGTCCCTTTTAGAATCCTTCCTCTGCAGGATGGGCGATGCCCACGAGCCCACAATGCTCTGGATCAGCTCAACATTGTCCTTGGCTTTCTGCAGCCTCTGCTCGAGGTCCTGGACACCCTCCATGACCCCAGAGATGTGATCCCACACACCTGGGGAAAAATGAGACCACTGACTCCCTGTTTTCAGAGCTGCAGGGCCAAGCTCTGGGGCATCTTCCTTCAGAGCAGCCTCTGGCTGTTTCCCCAAGCTCTCATGTATCTCTCACCCATGCTCAAGGCAAGAGACTCACCTGGACCAGCACAGCCACTTCTACCTCCCTCCTGCCCCACCAAGCCACAGTTCAGAGCAGCACAGCCTCTTTCCTGCCAGGAGCACCCCCAGCATGGGGATGCCTGACAGCTCCTGCTCCCTGTGCCAGGATGATCTCCCAGGGACTGACCCCAGGGGGGAAGGGTGGGGAGGGTGGGTACAGCAGGCTGAGTGTCCCTGCCCTCACCACCAGAGCAGGGCCCCCCAACCCCGGGCTGTGCCTGCCCCAGGTGCATTCAGGTGCAGGGAACTTAGGGTTCCTCTGCAGCAAAATCCACCTTTATTGTACAAAGGAGGAAGAGTTTTTGAGCCTGAGGACTTCTGGTTTGCATGTTCCCCAGGGATTCACTTGGTCCTGCTCATACCACAAGCAGGACAGAAACACAAATCCCCCCTGTGAGCAGTTTGCTCTCACCAAGAGGCTCCCTCTGCTCTGCTCTGCAGCTAAAACTGCTCAGGGAACAACTTGGTTAAATCCCCCCAATGTCCCAGTGCCCAAACACACCTCCAGCTGCACTATTCCATCCTCCAGGAAAGCTAATGAGGTGGCCTGGGATGAGCTGTTCCCAGTACCAGATGGCCGGGCCAAAGGGCTCCCACTGCCTGCACAGCTGGGTGAGGAAGCAGTGACTGAGTGGCATCACTGGGGCTGGCACAGGGGGGCAGCAAGGCAGGGAGCAGATGCTTCAACCCCAGCCTTGCCAGGTCCTGCAAACCCACATCTTGCCATCTCACTGCTCACAGGGCAGCCCCTCCTGCTCAAAGCCCAGGCTGAACCTGAGGGTAGCAGGATCCTGCCCACAACCCCAGCAGATCAAGGGAATGTGGAAAGAAGCAGGAAAGCTGAGGGTTGCTCCTCATCTCCCCAGTGCCTTCTCTACTGGAGAGTCCTCTGTCCAACTGGGAACTGCCACTGGGAACCAGGAGACGGGTTGGGCACAGGGAGGAATCTGCTGAGAGCCAGTTCTGTGCTCTGTCCCCTCCCCCAGAGCCAGCTCACCCTCCATCTTCCAGGTCAGGGTTTCTTCTGCCTCTTTCAGCTTCACATCGACCTCCTGCAGCTGCCCCTGCACCAGGGGGTATTCCACCTCCAGCACTGTTCTCAGGACCTTGTTGTACCTGTTCCCCATCAGCTCCAGGCTGGCCACCAGCTGCCGGTAGGACTCCCTGGAGGAGTAGATTCCTGCTGCCGTGGCTGGGATGGCTCCTGCCCGGCTGCCCGACAGGTAACTCACCTCCCTGAGCACCGAGAACAGCTGGGGACACAAAACACACAGCTGAGCACGGGACAACCCTCCTCATGTCCTGGCAGACACCCTCCAACCAACCCCGAGCACCCTGGGGGTTTCCTGCTGGTTTATTCCCAAAGCAGCACACTGGAAAGGGCCTGGACACCTCCTGGTCTGTACTGCCTGTCTCCCTTGGATCTCTGATTCTGGTTTTCTTCCCAGCCAAAGGCACAGAGCTCTGTTAACTACCCAGCCTGCAAACTCCATCCAGGCTTTAAAAGACACAGTCCTCTCTGGCCCTCTCAGCCATCCTCATCCATGTGGATCCCCCCTCAGGTGATGAGGGACTCACATCACCAGTCTCTCAGCAATTCTGTTCCTGCAAACAGAGTTTGACCCTGATTTAAACATAAGATGGCTCCAGTTCTCTTGGTTTACTGGGCTGACTGGCTTTAAAGTATAAAAACATTAAAAAAAAATAATACCATGGCCCCAAGACTGGTGACTTATCTCCTCCTGTGCCCACCTTCCACCAAAGATATCCAGAGGCTTCTCCCATCCCAACCAAAGCACTCAGTGCTGGTGCATGTTTGAGGTGTGATGGGACAGGACTGAGGGGGATTATTAAATCATAAACCCAAGTATAAACAACTCACTGCAACAAAGGCAGCAGCAGTGTCTGCCAGTGCAATACATCCCCTGTGAGACTGAAAGCCTTTGCTCAGCCCAGAGCCCAGTGAGTGGCAAAATGCTCCTGTGCTCCTGGGGTGGCACATGCTGGGTGACACACAGGGTGACAGAAACTCAGCCCATCGTGTGGGCAATGGGGGGGTGAGGAGCTCTCCTGGCTGCAGATGAGCTTGGGGGGCAGCTCCCAAAAAGTCACCTTTCCCTTAGGTTAGCAGAATGTGCCATCCCCTCCTGTGAAGGTATGGGGCACATCTCTGTCTGATCCCATCCCACCCACCCCCTCTGGTCCCAGTTCCCTGCCCCTGTTTTCCATAGGAGAACTGGAATCTGCAGGTGTGACCATAAGTAGGTGAAGCCACAAGGCTGCCAGGGTTCCAGGAGCCTTTGTCACTGCCCTGGCTGACAGGCAGGGGTGACTGAAACCTCTCCAGTACTGCCTGATGTCAGCCAAACCCCAGTGTCCTGCAGAACTGGCCAAGGCCCCTGGCAGCACATTCCCTCTGGAGGAATGGCACAGGGGGATCAGGCAGTGCCTGTCAGGGGAGTCAGTCATGACACAGTGTGACAGTGAAAACAAAGAAGAAAGAAGAAAGAAGAAAGAAAGAAGGGGTGAAGAGGGGTGCAGGGGACAGTCTGGAAAGGTGGAAGAAGTAGGATGTGGTGGGAGGAAAAGGAAAACCAGGGGCTGAGGAAATGAGAGGGCAAATGAGACAGAACCAAGCTCCCCTCCCTCCTCTGCACTGCAACATCTCGACATCCCCACCATGGGCTGGGGGGTCTTCTCCTCTCTCCCCTCCTCCATGGAAGGTGACCTCTGGAATGCATTTCCATGCTGAAGAGTGGCAAGTACATCCTCCCCTCCAAGCAAAACCAGGTGCTCCTGGTTCTGTTGGTCCTGGAGGGGCTGCTGAGCAGGCTCTGAGGGCCATTGGAGCATCCTCAGTGTGCTCAGAGAAAAGCAGCCCAGCAGCACTCACACACTGGAGCTGAGGACAGGCACACTCAGCACATGCCAGGCTCCAAATCCCATCACCAGTGGGAAGGGTAGAAAATATCCCCTGGGCCCAGTCGGCTCCCACCTTAGCAAGGAGCTTTCAAGGAGATGGACAAGTCCTTTGACTGAGGTGCAAGCTGGAATGAGATCTAAAACCTAAACCCTTTCCTTGGGCAGCAGCAAGCACCAAGGACAGGGGCAGCTTTGGATGTCAGTGTTTCCAAGGCCACTGCAACTCCTCCCCTTCCCAGCAATGAGCATTTTTACAGCCAACAGCCCCTGGTTCCCACCAGGCCCAGAAGCTCTCAGCTCATCTGTGCTCACTGCTGGCTCAGACCCCGCTCCTGCTCCAGGGGACCCTGAACAGAACTTAAATCTATCATCAGCCTCATGCCCTGCAGTGAAGGAAACATTGGAGTCACAAAACAAACCCTTGTTGGGTGTTTTACACCCTCTCAGAAGCTCGGGTTTCAGGTACACATAACACAAACCCGTCTCTGGAGATGATGTCCCAACACTCCCCACACCAGTATTGACACTGGTGTGGATGTGCTGACACCAGTTACACACCTTCTGCCACTGGTTCTGACTAGAATTTGCTCTGCTAAAGCTGTGACCCTGATATTTCTCTAGGAGACAGAGCCCAGGAAGGCGATGGTAAATCCACGTCACCCACCACAGAAAGGGTTCCACAGACCTCAGAGAACAGACATGGTACCAACCCCCCCAGACCTGTGCACAGTGGAGCACAGCCTGGGGACATGCCATGAGAGGCAGGAGGGAGGCAGCAGTTCCTACCTGGGGATCAAAGTTGACAGTGATCAGTTTGGTCTCTGGGTCTCGCCGGATGAGCGGCTGAGTCAGGTTGTACTGAGATTTTTCTGAGACTGTCTGGGACCAGTCCAAATACAGTTTGTCCTGATACCTGACAGAAAAGAGAAACATCCCCATGTGCTTACCAAGCCAGTAGACCATGGCATGTAACTGAATGGAAGCCCTGTCCAATCTGAGGATTAAAACCATGAAGAAATATTAAAAACCCATCCATGCCATCTTCCTAAAAATCGTGGCTTCCAAGACAAACACCCAAACACCAGTGATGGCATCAAAGCAAGAGGACAAAGCTCTCTCAAGTACCAGTTTTAGCAGAGGATTCAGATTTGTAGGCAGACTTTCCAAAGCATTTACAAAGCGACAGATCAGCAGCTGATGGGCATTTCCAAAGTGTTTAAGCAGGGTGAGTGCCACAAACCCACAGGGATGCTGGGGGTAGCTGCAGCTCTCCTCACTTCTCCCAGTCAGTGCAGAGAGACTGTGACACCACTGGGATGGGAGTACAGAGGGAAGAACAGGGGTCTGGTACCTCACATGTCATGGACAGCCCCAACCACCCAAGGAACAAAGTCTCTTCTGAATCAAGTTGTCACCTGAGCACCTTGGTTGGGAAATGTCACCGAAAACCAGCACCTCTGTTGGGTCACCCAGACCCTCTTTGGGGCTGCTCCCTTCGGAAGGGCTGTGCTAAATTATCCCTTATCCAGCCTTTGTTCTGGTTCTGGGGAACAGGACTCCCTCCATGCCCCCTGCAGGACCCAGCAGCCTTCACTGCTGACAGGGATGAGGCCCTGCAGGGATCTCCTTCCTGGGGAAGAGGCTCCCCTGAAAAGTCAGCCCAGAGCAACCAGTTTAACATGAAACATTGAGATACCAAGTCATGGGCAATGAATCCCACTCCAAACTGTGCAATATAAACATTACAGCCACTGCAAACACCATCAGTGAGTGGGCACGAGTGGGCAGAGACTTCTTCCCCTGCCCAGGCTTTCTACCACAGCAGCTCCTACATCCCACAGCAGCTTTTTCCAAAGTTTCTTTGGGCTGACAGGATCCCTCCTCCTCTCCCAGCAGAAAACTCCCTCTGGCTTAGGAAGAGACATTCCCAGGCCCTGGGCTGGTGGATGTGCTGGAAGGTAGCTCAGAGGAGGAGAAGGTTTCCTCACACAGGGCCTGAGCCCCACTCACCTGTCGAGCAGCTGGATCATTTCCTCATATTTCTGTACCACCCTCCTTCCTTGGGCAGAGTCCAAGCACCTGGAGACACAACAGACCAGCTCAGGGCTATGTTTAGTCCTGGCAGGCTGCAAGCTGTATTTACCCCTTCCCAAGAACCCCCACCAGACTGCAGGCAGGTCACTGCTGGGTGAATGACTGTTGGGTGATGAGAATTCCAGCACTGGTTCATTTTCTTGTCCTTGGGAGACTGTTTAATGCTGAGAAAGCTCACTTCTGTCAGTACCCGAGGGCTGGGCTACTCCCAGGCAGGTCCTGGAGACCAGGCTGAGTGGGATTGCAGTGAGAAAGATTCTCACAAAATCACAGAATATTCTGAGTTGGAAGCACCCCCAGGGATCATCAAGTCCAACTCTAAGATGAATGGCCCATACATCAAACCCATGGCCTTGTTGTTATCAGCACCACATTCTCACCCCAGTACTTCTTCAGTTGCAACCTAGCACTGTGTCTGAAAGCTGAAGTGCCCATCTGCTACCCCACTGTGCCTCTCACCCATTTCAAAACAAGCCCAGTTAATGAGTTTCTTTGAAAAGACAGGATGGCAGGGAAGGGAACAGCACCAGTGCACTCCCTCCAATCCTCCACTGAGGATTGTCCGAGCTGGAACCACGGGACACCATTCAACTCAGAAAGAATATTGGACTGATTAGAGACAAGATTTCAAGATGGCCATAAAGCAGCTGATCTGGAGCAGACACTCACAGGTGTGGGATGTGCCTGAGCTGATCAAAAGGCCTCTGGATCCGCGCTCGCAGCTCCCGAGCCCAGGCCAGCGCTCCAGCCACGGAGGGCATGTTCTTGTGCAGGGGGGGAGACCCTGGGGGGACATGGAGACAGCATTTCACTGAACACAGCACTGTAACCCCAAAGATAAACCAACAGGCACTGTAACCCCAAAGAGACACCAATAGGAATCCATCTGCACAAACTGCCCTGGTTTCCCAGCTTCTTCCCTGAAATCCGGTGTCTGCTACATGATGTAGGTCTGGGACAAATCCCCCTGTGCCCCTGGACCCTAAGTGAGGGATCACAGGAGAAGCCCAGCATGTGGTAGAACCAGAGCTGTGCCTGGGGTGCATTCCCTGCTCCCCATAAACACCAGGGGAGCCATTTCTGCCCAGGAGCTCCTTGTGACCATCCCACCTAACACCCACAGAACAACACCCCCCAAATCCACAGCAAATCCTGCACTCATTCTCTCTGGACTCCCAGCTCTGCACTGGTTCCAGAACAGTCTTCCTGAGGCAAGGAAAAGGGCTGTTGTTCAAAAAGACACACTAATCCTCATAATCTGACAGGAGTCTCCCCATTCCCTCCTGTGCCAACATTCAAGGGAAATAATAAACCTGGAAAAGGCTGACAAAACCCTTAATTCCCAAGTCCCCCTTCCTTCCATACTCAGCATTACATGGGAGAAGCTCAGCATGTGCCCTCATTCCCACTCGCACATACACCTTTAAAAAAGGATATTCCAACAGATTATTTGCTTCAATGCCAAGAACAGAGCATTCCCAGGCATTTCCATTTCCACAGGGAGCTATAGGGGCTGAAAACCTTTGCACTTTGAGAAGTCCTGATTTCCTCAGCAAAAGCAAATTATTTCTCCCCCCCAAATTAATATAAATCAAATTTTCTGTAAGGTCATTTTTTTCCTCAGCACACAGGGCACCCACCGAGCTTGAGCCCTGCCTGGGTGTGGCTGCAGTAGATGAGCCTGGTGTGGTCCAGGGCAGTGCTGAACATGCTGATGAGAACAGGCCATTTGTCAGCAGCAACTGCAGCGATCACTGGACGCTCCAAAAGGCTCTGGAACATGGTCAGCAACTGAGGAGGGGGAGAAGCAGGGAAAGAAATGAGGAAAAAATTCACACTTCTGCAAAGAGACCCACTGGGATTTTCCTCACTGACCCAGATGCTTCACCTTTCTCAGTAGCCCAAAAGTCTGCACTGATGAGCAAAGGGAATTTTTTTTTCCCCCCTGCTTTTCAAGTGTTTCCTCCCTTTCATAGAATCATTAAGGTGGGAAAAGACCTCCAAGATCATTGGGTCCAACCTTTGACCGAATCCCACCGTGCCCACTAAACCACATCATGGAAAATATGAGAGATGCTCAGACTTTCTCTGGGGGTGAACCATATTCCCACTGCCATTCTTCAAATGCTTCAAAATGTGTTACTTAAAAAATAAACAACAAAACCTCAGAAAGATAAATACTATCACTTCTATGACTTTCTATAGTCTTTTCCACGATTATATTGAAATCTTTCAGAAAATACATTTACTTTCTCTGCAGGATGGATTCATTGGTAAACAAACCAGGCTCATTTCTAAAAAAACCTCAGTTTTCAAAGTCAAAATGCATCCATGTGTTAACTAAAACAACAAATTGATATTAACAGTGATCATCTGGGTTTAACAGCAGCTCTCACCAGGAAATCAGAGAATCACGGAATGGTTTGGGTTGGAAGGGATTTTAAGGATCATCTCATTCCACCCCACTGACATGGGCAGGGACACCTTCCACCAGACCAGGTTACTCCAAGCCCTGCCCAACCTGGCCTTGAAAATCCTGGAGAAAGCATCATCTCCTCCAGCCCACAGGCAGACCAGTAAAACTTCTGGCATCCAACAGCCTGATTTGAGTGATTTCTTTGACTACCCTTCCTCAAACTGAGTAAAGGTCTGTTCTGTTTGTGTCTTAATGGGAAGAGCAGGAACACCCCCAGGGTTTCCAGAGCCACCATGGCACAGCTCAGGAGGGACCCACAGGCCTGAGCATCCCTCACCACATCCAGCCCAGCAGCTCAAGTGTCACTGTCCCCCTGTCCATCCCGTGGCAAACTCCAGCCCCACGTGCCTCCAGCACTGCCTGGGACAGGCCACTTGTCACTCCCCAAGGCAAACTGGGACAAGGGAGGGGACACACCAACCTTGAAGACGTGCTCCAAGTCCAGGGTGTCATCAAAGGCCTGGGTGAACACAGTGCTCAGCCGGTGGTCGATGTCCTCCACTTTCTGCTGGAAACCCAAGGCATCCTGCTCAAACTCCTGGGGGAAGGGGACAGTGAGCTGTGAGACAGCACCAGGGAGATATTTCCTCTTCTTATTCACCAGGAATTAAACCACTCCTCTGGCCAACCTGCAGCCAAGTCCCACAGAGTCGAGACACTCCTGTCCCAAGTTGGATCAGGACCCTCCAGGATGGATCCACAGTCCAAGGGGCACTAACTTCAACCTAGACACAAGACAGACCTTTAACCACACTCTCTTACCCTGCACTTGATCTGAAGACCACACCATCATCCAAAAAACCCAGAGATGCACTTGCTGAGTTCCAAATCCCATCTACTTTCAAGCCAAAACATGGCCATGGTTCTGTTCATCGGGTAACTCCAAGTGGGGCAACAACAAAGGCAGTTCCAAAACACTTGGCATGGGCTGCCCGAGGGGGCTGTGGAGTTCCCACTCTTGGACACTTTCAGCCTCAGGGGTATTAATCTGGTTACAGCCCTGCTCCAGCTGGGCCTCTTTTGAGCAGGGAGGTGGACTGGGTGATCTCCAGAGGTCCTCTCCAACCCCAACAGCTCTGTGTTTCTGTAATTCCCATCAGCTACTGGCACTGCTTTCCTTACCCAGTTGGAATAAATCCTTTGAAGTTCAAATGTCAAATCTAGGCTTTTTTTCCTACAGGTAGAAGAGTCCATATCAAAGTCTGAACCTGACAAATGGGGAGGCTTTCAGGGCTTCTACCGTGGCTTGGCCAAAGCCACCAAAAATGAGGCCATGTGTCTTGTTTCTGGAAGAAGAGAGCATAAGGCAACAGCTTTTGCTGGGATCACTGCTCAGCTCCAGCAGCAACAGATGCCATGTTTGAGCTAAGAAAGAGGCTTAGAGAGTAACAGAGGGTACAAAACTCAACCACTGAGGGAACAAGCACAGCTCAGAGTCACATAACACACCACGGGGTCACTGGAACCAAACCAGCTCCTGCAGAGCCACTGCCACACTGTCACCCTCCTTCAGAGCCACTGCCACACTGTCACCCTCCTGCAGAGCCCTCCCTCCTGAAGGAGAGGGAACATGGAGCAAGGGGTTTTCCAGCAGGATTGTCCCAGGCAGCACCAGGGATGTGCCACCCACTGCAGAGGTGGACCAGGAGCTACAGGAGCAAAGCACAAGCCAGCCATCCCCACAGCAGGCAGGTCCCAGCACCAAAGGAGAGGCTCCCACCCCCAGCCCAGCCACCCCTCACAGCTGCTCCAGTGTAACCCTGGAGCCCCTCCCCACAGAGCTGCTCTCAGGCCACCTCTCCCTCCTCCAGCTGTGGGGACAGGCCTGACCACGTCCTGCTCACCAGGCACAGGGGATCCCTTGGGAAATGCCATTCCCACTGTTCCTGAGCAGCTCCCTGCTGGTGTCACAGCCTGGGGCAGGAGCTCTGAGCAGTCTGGCTGTCCATGGCACATTGGCTTTGCCCTGTGTGTGCCACCCCCGTGGCCATAGAGCCATGACCCACAGGGCTGGGGATATTCCTTTAATAAAGAACTGCTGATAATCAGAGTCCCTGAATTCTGAGAGCTGAGATGCCACATGTTTATGCAGACAGGGGCAAACACATCCCCAGGGACTGTGGAGCTGGCCCTCATCCCAAAACCAGGCACCAAAGCAGGAAAGCAAAGGGAGGGGGACAGGCACAGGTCAGACACACCAGTAGGGAAAGCTGGGGAAAGGCTGGGGAATTCGGGCTTCCCACCTGCACTGGTCTAAGGTCCTGAACCAGCAAGGTATAGTAGATGTGGAGCTGCAAGAACTCCCAAATCTCTGCAGGAAAGGCCAACAGCTCCCTTTTCCTTCAGTGACAAATCCCATCACAAAGAAGAAGCTGGGAAGGAGCCAGCAGGAGCCAGGGCTCCATCACAGAGGGGGCTGCTGCTCTGGGAACACAGATGTCCTGCTGGTGCTCCTGCAGGCTGGTCCCACCTACCGTGCTGGCCAGGTCGAGGCAGTCGTAGCTTCGCTCTGCAAACACCCTGTAGGCCTCCTGGAACTCCTCATGCATGTCCAGCACCTGCTGGCCCAGGGCCCTCCCTCTGATCCCGCTGAACTCCATCTTCTCCAGCTTTGTCAGGTCCAAGGCTGTGGTCAGGAGACCCTGCAGAGCCAGTGGGGGCACACACAGGGTCAGATGGTGACAAAGAAGATGTCAACAGTTGTCACAACACTGTGCTGTGTCTGCTGCCCTGCTGAAGGATCCCCCCAGGCACACCCCGGGGGAGTGACACAACTGGGAAGTGGGGAGCCACCTGTCCTGGGCCACCTGTCCCTGCTCACAGCACATCCCTCTCCAGAGGGTCACTGCCCTGCCTAGGTGGCCTTGTCTGCTGAAAGGAGGACACAGGTCCTTCCTTCCCAACCTCAGGTGGCAGGGGAGCAGGGCAGGGCCTGGCCCCCCAGGAGGTGCCCCACTGACCCAGCTGTGGCAGCTCTGCCCCCCCACACCCCATCCATTCTTTCTGCTCAGGCTAAATAAGGTCTGTTTTCCCAGAAGACCAGGAGAAATGCTCTGTTCTCCAGCACAGGAATGTCCTGCTGGCTGTCCAGCTTGCTGTGAGCTTGGGGACAACCCCAAAAGCTGAGCTGAGCAGGTATGGAGCTTCACCCCCAGCTAGGCAACACTTGGCCAGCACCTCCCAGGGGTTGCCAAAGGGGTCCCAGAACACAGCTGGCCCTGTGTCCACTGGTACTACTCTGCACCAGCCAGCACAGTCTGGTCACCTGCACACCAAATCCTACTGGAAACCATCATTGCCAGAGAGCTGGAATTGTTCAGTCTCAAGAAAAGAAGGCTCTGAGGAGACCTTAAAGCCCAAGTGGTGCCTGGGCTCGAGGGGAGCGTGTGGCCTCTCCAGGTCAGGCAAGACCCAGCCCTCGAGAGTCTCTGCAGGCCACAAAAGGGCCAGGAGTTTGTACTGGCTTATTTACAGCCCCAAAGTCCCCATCCCCTGCTCCAACAGGAGCATGGAGTCCAAGAGGACTCTTGGGAGCACTGACCAAGCTGTGCAGAAGGACACAGCAGAAGGACTCAGACACACAAATGCACTGAGCAATATCTGGTCAAAAAAGGTGCTGGCCTTGATGCAATGGGAGATGGGACAGTGCAAAGAGCAGCCCCACTCCCTGCCATCAGGGGAGGCCACAGGGAGGGAAGATACCAGCAAATGAGTTCATGGCTGCAGAGCTCTCCTGGTGGCTTGGAATACTCTTCAAGACCAGAGTCTCACCTTCACCATCTCCAGCCTCTTCAGGAAGCTGTCCAGCCTTGCAAACACCATCCTGGAGTGGAAGTCCCACTTCCTCACTTCCTGGCCTGGCTCATAATACATGTGCAGGTTTTCCCGTCTCTCCTCAAACACCCCTTTGAAGCCATTCAGGATGTCAAGCACTGTTTGCACCTTGCCCAGGCTCTCTTCCATCTCTCCTTTCAGAAGGTCCTCTGGAGACAGGTACACCACTGCCTGGAAGAGCAAAATCACACCTGTGGGGTCACTTCTGCCAGCACAGCAGTGACTTCTTGCACCGAACATGTCTGCCCCTGCCTCTGAAATTCAGAATCGCTCTGCCAGGGAAGGACGGAGGATAGGAGGAGAGAAGAGACATTCATAAAAAACTTCCCGTGGCAAACACAGGTGCCACAGACACACACCTGCTGGATGAGCAGGTTGCAGATTTCCTGGAGCAGAACTATGATCCTCACAGCCACATTGTAGTGCTTGCAGGTGGCCCAGATCCAGCACACCATGTGGAGCAGAGGGGCCAGGAAAGGCTTCACCTTGCTGAACTCCACAGCCTCTATGTCCTCCAAGGGCCGCTGCAGGGGTGTCAGGTGCAGGTGGATGTCCTGAGCTTCAGCCAGAGCTGTGGGAAGCGATGGGAGCAGTGGTGAGAGCTGCTGGGCTGTGGGGTCAGCAGTCAGCACCACGGTGAAGCTGTCCCAGCATCTCACCTGCCTCAACGTCCCTGAGCATGGATTTGAAGGCTGGGACATAGATGCTCTTCACTCTCTCCAGCACCTCCATCATGTTCCTGACCTTCCTCGACCTCAGCTGGTCGTAAATACATTCCAGCTCCTCGCACCTGCAGCAGCCAAGACAGGTCACCAGCCCATGCTGGGGCAGCACCAGCTGTCCCTCCACAGCACCCATCTCCCCTGGGCCTGATCCAGGATCTCCTGCAGCTACACATGGACTGAGTCCCAGCAGGGAAAGGGAACAGGACCCACCCTGCAGGACAGCCAGGGGTGCTGGGAGTGAGCATGAGAGCAGCTCTGCTGGGGGCAGGGCTCTGCTGAAAGGAGCCATGTGGTGTTTCTGCAGGCACAGTGACAGCTCTGCAGCAGGCAGGGCTTTGTCCCGGCTCAGCCTGAGCCAACTCAACACAAAGGTTTCCAAAGGGCAGGATCAAATTCCACCCCCTGGCTCATCTAACCCCACTCTGGCATCGACAGCCCAGCAGCAGCAGCCAGCTGAGGGCACAGAAGGCATCCATCAGCTCCACTCTGGGGCTGGTTCCCAGGGCACAGTGAGGGAAAGAGCATTTCCAAAACGTTTCCCTCGTGGTGGAGCCCTGAGCTGTGCTGGGGCCCAGTTAAACCCAGCCAGCTGCCCAGCAGCTCCCAGGCACCTTGAGGTCATCATTATTTCATGTGTGGGAGCAATTTTCCTCGGCTCAGGTCCCTGCATGACCCCGAGCAGCTGCTCTTCTCGGCTCACAGCAGCAGCAGCTCTGCCTGCACCAGCAGCTCCCTCCACCCAGCCCAGCACCAGTGCCCACTGTGCCCTGGGCAGGCCCCCAGGGTACCTGTTCTTCCAGAATTCCAGTTCCACCTTCGGGTTGGGGTTGCTGCCTTGCAGGAGAGGCTCTGAGGACTCTTTCTTCAGCGCTCTCTGGATCTGGTGGCTCCAGTCGATGATGGCTGACTCGGTGGCATGGACGAGGGATTTATCAACCAGCTCCAGGCTGCACAAAACAGACCTCATGGATCACTTGGCTTCCCACTCAGCCATGTGGATGCAGCTCAAACAACCCCTTGGGCAGCTGGGTTTTGCAGTTACAGTCTAGATTCATATTTCAAAACCACAAAACAATCAAACACATAAGATTTTGTCTTTGTTTTAAACGGGGATTAAAGCCTAGAGGAAATGGATGAAGCTCCACAGCAGAGTGGGCAACAACACGTTGGTCATGAAGTGAATCCCCACAAAGAGCCAGCTGCCACTCCTGCACAGTCACTGTCACACCAGATCCTTTTGTGTTCAGTGTCTGACCTGCACAGTTATACCCCCAGCAAGTCTCTCTCTACCCATCCTGTTCTCCCTGATTCTATTCTACCTTCCCACAGACCTTCACCTGCTTCATTCAGAGAGAAAGGACGCAGAGTGGGTGAGGTCAGGTCACCCCCCTGCCTTGGGAGCAGTAACTCCTCATTCCATCCCACTCAGGAGATAAAACCACACAGGGTCATACTCACAATCTCTCGTTTTCAGGATCAATGTTCTCGATTCCCTCCGAGCCAGCTGGAAGAGGCAGCAAGGTCTTGCCCTTGACTTGACCAACAACCATGAAAACAGTTTTTTTTAGGCTGTGGACATGATGGATGATGTCCTGTGACACCACTCGTGGCCAGCCCTGGTGGTTCTTGCGGTTGGTCAGGATGGGCACAATCACCTACAGCAGGAGCCATGGAAGAGCAGTGGAGAGGAGCTGAAGGAGGGCAGGGTTAGGTTGGATAATAGGAAGAAAGTCTTCCCTGTGAGGGTGGGGAGGCCCTGGCACAGGTTGCCCAGAGAAGCTGTGGCTGCCCCTGGATCTCTGAAAGTGTTCAAACCAGGTTGGATGGGGCTTGGAGCAACCTGGGCTGGTGGAAGGTGTCCCTGCCTATGGCAGAGGGTGGGACTGGATGATCTTTAAGGTCCCTTCCCACCCAAACCATGCTGTGATTGGAAGATTCTTTGAGAAAAAGTGCTGCAGGAGACAGACAGGCCACCAGGCTCCACAGTCCTGACTTGGCCAAGCCTGGAGATCCATGCTCATCACCGTCCCAAGCAGTTCCCTACCTGTGTGAAACAAGGGCAGATGATGATGTAGGGCCTCCTTCCAGCCCACACTGCTCCTGGTGAACCCTCTCCCCTGAACCCAGGCAGCTGAGAAGGGTGAAAACCAGCAAAGTGAGCTGACCCACCCTCGGGCTCTCCCAGCCTCTGAAACCACAGACAGCTCTGTGGGGTCTTATCCTTGGCTCTTCCCACATCTCCCAGTGCTGATCCCCCAACCCAAGGGCTTCCCTGCACAGAACCCCCCTGTGTGCAGAGATGGAAGGTCCTCTGGTACCTCCTGGGATCTGTCACTGCGAGAGGGTACGGAGAAACTACACGCAGACCAATATGATCAAGAGGCAGAATCCCGTTTATTATGCGTTACAGTTTCCATTATATACTTTTCTTACACATACATGTTCTTACACGATTGGTTGGAAATAGTTAAACACACTTTTCAGCACTTAGTACTTGCTATCCTGTGATTGGCTCATACGTAGTTGTCCAGGCACATCTTCTTGCCTTTTCTCCCTGCACTTTCTCTCTGCCCTTTTTCTCCGCCTGTTTCTCTTTGCTGCTATCTCACAGTTAGCATTCTTGCAGGCTGACATCAGTGCCAGTACTTTTCCTGAGGTAAAGTCCTTGGTTGATTCAGGCTTAAGGCCCACTAACAGCTTGTCCACAGCCTGCTCTTTAGACAGGTATCCCACAGGGATCTACTGCTGCTGAGGGTTCCTCCATCCCCACTCCAACCACACTGTCAGCCTGGAGCACAGCCACTCTTTAGGTTATTTTCTCAGGTTGCAGCCCATTAAATATGATTTCTGTCTCTGGCAGGGAAGTTGCAGGGTCTGCGCTGACCCAGCACACACAGACCCATGGCTGGGCTGGGCTTGCCTGGACCTGAGCTGCTTCTGGCTTGTTTGTGACAGCAACAGTGCCTGTCACCCACCCTGGGCTGGCTCTGGGACTGGAGCCAGGTCGTCCCTGGTGACAAACAGCCTTTGTGTGACCAGGCTTGGGAGAGGCCAAAGGTATAAAACCAGATACAAATGGACATGGAAGCAAAAAGGAACAAAGCAGCCCAGCACCACCATGGGGCCGTCCTAGGGTGCTAAAGATTCTTTGCCTCATGCCTGAGGAAGAGCAAGAGCAGCAACCACAGTGCCCAGGGAGCCTTGGGAAGGGGGGGCACAACCCCAGGACCCACAAGCAGACCCAGAGAGCTCCCCTTCAACTGCTTCAGCTGCACTTCTAGCAGGAGTTGTCTCTATTACTCAAAGCACATGGACTGCCAAAGAGAGCAATGTCATAACCAGTCAAAGAAGCTGTTCATTTTCTTCTGGATTGTTAAAATGACAACTGGGCCCCCAATGAACCCCCCAGCCCCACAGCACCGAGGTGTGTCCCCTGCAGCCATCACAAGGGGTAGGTGTCACAAGCAGGTGAGGTGGCCCAAGCTGTGACCCACAGACATGGTTTGGTGGGTCAGTTCCTGGTGCCCCAAACAACCCACAGAAAGCCTGACACAAAATGTTTATTTCACTGAAAAATTCTTCTAAGATTGTCCTAAAAACTTGTGACAAAAGCTTCCGGGAGAAGTGCTCATGCTGCAGGCAGAGCCACACCTGAACCAGGCTCAGGAAATTCAGTGCCTTTTCCACTTACACACAGACCCACCCCAGCCCCTATGGAAATACCACATCTGCCTGCACAGGGGAGGGACCAAAGTCTGCAATTGCAGCTGGGATGTGCAAAACCAGGTGCTGAGGGCAGCCAGAAAGCAGCATCTAAGAGGATCTGGGGAGTGTTCTACCCCAGCACCTCCCTGCAGCACATGGTGTTTGCAGTGCCCGGTGTGTCTCCCAGCAGTGCCCACAGACAGAGCAGAAACTGCTGCTTGAGCCAGCTTTCCAAACCCCAGGGCTCATCCAACACCCTGGGAGAAGAACTCCCCATGTGCACAGTGTGTTAACACACGAAACCCCGAGAGCCAGCCTGGCAGCCTGCTCTTGGGAATCCAGGATCAGTCACCATCCCAATACACCAAGAGCATCATCTGAGCTTTGCAAAGCAAGCAGTTCCTCTGCTTTCCCATTCAGCCTCCTGCTGGGACCTCTCCAGGCCAGGGGCTGTTGGGAATAAATTCAGACAGTGGTGTCTGGGTCAGGCTAATAACACAGGAAGGAGAAAGTTCTTGAGCCTCTTGAAGATCCCTCTGGAGAAACATCAGCCCACCTGAGGTAACTGTGCACTGACCTGCCAAAGGCTCTTTTGAACATCAGGGAAACACTTTTTCATGCTGAGGGTGACCCAGTGCTGGCAGAGGCTGCCCAGAGAATGGGAAGTCTCCATCCACAGAGATACTCAAAAGTCACCTGGATGTGGTCCTGGGCAACTAGTTCTGGTTCTGGGTGGCGTGGCTTGAGGTGGGACCTGGACCATATAGCCCTGAGATGTCCCTTCCAGCACTGACTGTCACAGAATCACAGAATGGTTTGAGTTGGAAGGGACCTTTTTAAAGCTCACCCAGTCCCACACCCTGCCACGGGCAGGGACACTTTCCACTAGCCCAGGTTGCTCCAAGCCCCGTCCAGCCTGGCCTTGAACACTTCCAGGGATGAGGCAGCCACAGCTTCTCTGACTCTCAGGAACCCATTCCGTGATTCTGTACAGTGGGTCAGTCCCACACGGACACCCCTGCGAGACGGCCCGGAGCCGCCGCGGCTCGGGATTTCGGGTTTTGTTTTAGGGAGCTCTACAGCCGCCGGCGCTGCCTCGCTCCCCCTTACCTCCTCCAGCAGGGCGGCGAAGTGCGCCAGGGGGTCGGCGGGGAGGTCCCCGCAGAGCAGCTCTGCGGGGCCGGGGCCGGCTCCGGGCGGGCGGAGGAAGAAGACGGCCTTGCTGGCGGCGGGGGGCGGCGGGGGCGGCCCGGGGCGCAGCCCCAGCTCCCCTCCGGGGCCGCGCCAGGCGAGCAGCGCCGGCCCCGCCGCGCCCCGCACGAACCCGCGCAGCGCCCGCGCCGCCCCCGCGCAGCGCTCGGCGGGCACCGCCAGCGCCCGCGCCGCGCCCCGGCAAACCCGCTCCGACACCGGGTCCGGGGCCTCGGGGGGCTCCGGCCCCCCCGCACCGGGGTCCTGCGAGGGTTCCGAGGGCTCCGGCCCCACGGCCCCGCGCTCCCCGCCGGGCTCCGCCGCCTCCATCCCGCCCGCACCGCCGAGTGTTTGCGGGAGCTGCCGCCGTTGCCCAGGAGACTCCCGGGAGCCGCTCCCGCGTCCCGCCGGGAAGCGAGGGCGGTCCCAGCCTTCTCCCACCTCCTCCGGCCCGTTTCCCTCACTGTATCCCCAGAGCGGTTCCCCAGCCGGGCTCAGAGCAGCTCAGAGCACAGTCCCGGGAGTTCTTCCACGCCGGGCACAGACAGGTCCCGTCCATCACCCGCCGTGCTGCTCCCCCACCCCTCTGGACAAACATCAACCACCTGGAGCCAGAACCCATGTGCTGTGGGCTCTTGCCACTGCTGGATTTGCATTTTATTAATACCCAATGTGATAAGTGTTTCATTATTTTCCAAATAAAAGACCTTTCCTCACTTCCATGAAAAGCAGCACAGGGATCCTGTGCAGGCCCGGGGCTGCTTGTCTGAGCCCAGCAGTAACCAAACCCTCTACTGGGCATCCAACCCACTCCTACAAACACCTACCCAGTAACAGGTCCTTACTCAGTCTTTCCCCAGTGCCTGAGGGCTATTCCTAAAAGCCCAGTAGAGCTTTTTTTAAGGACCCAGCTGTCAGTTGCTGTCTCTGCTTTAGACAAGAAGAATATTAAAGCTCAGCTCATTAAAAAAAATATATTTTGCTTCCAGTTTGTTTTCTAATTTCCCATCACCTTAAAATGAAGTCTTAAGTCTCTATTATGTGCTGGCATCACTTGTTGAGCAGGGCCTGGGGGCTGTGTCTGTCTTCAAGTTGTCTCCAAAAATAAACTCCATAATTCAAGCAGCACAGAGCAGTAACAGGCAGTTACAGCAGTGGGAAGGGAAGGAGAGCTGACCCACACAAAGCCTCGGAAAAGCCCTCTTAACCACAGACCTCTCCCCCTCTGCCTGCTTTGCCAGCTTTCCTGTTCCATGCACCCAACTGTAATCTGCTTGAGGAAACTCCCAGTCTGATCCAGCCATTCAAAACCCACTGGGACCAGCTTGGGTTGACAAGCAAAGCTCCTGTCTAGAGGGTAAAAGAGCCAGCGAGGATTGTTCTGGCACAAAACACAGGCATGAAGCTCCAGCATGATCCAGACCTGATGGGCAACTCTTTATTCCAATGCTGTAATGCAGAATCAGCCAGCCAAGGTCACTCTCTGGAGCAAACCAGGTGTTTGTTTCCTCCTTAGTGATCCAGCTACAACACAGCTTCCTGGAGGACGGTGAGTGCTTTATTCAGATTCTAAACAAAGGGTTTGTAAAACTGATCTTTTGGAAAAAAAAAAAATCAGTGGAGAAAACCAAAATAAAATGGGAGCACAGATGTACAGACGTATCGTCACTCCTAATTTAACCTAAAAAGTAACTGGGTCCCATTTTACTGTTAATTTTCCTCCTGTCACCTGGGTTCTGACACCTGGTTACATCCCCTATCACCGAGACCTGCCCATTTTCTTCTGGCAAATCCGCGGCCCCTCAGGGCCTCCCACACCTGATCTCTTGCAAAGGTCACACCTGCTGCTATTACATTATCAATAGCTTTTAGCATAAACCTCAAAATCAAAACAGCTCAGAGAGAAGAACTTCAGGCTAAAAGAAAAATGCCACATGGCCTGGTGAGCTCCTGCAAGGCGAGCTGTGTGAGCAGATCCTGTCTCCACGAGGACTGGCACTGCTGGCAGACGCTGGAGCTGCAGTCCAGGGAGGTTCACGATGACCAAACAAGCCCCAGAACCAAGGCCAGCCCCTTTCCTGCCGTGCCGGCAGCACCACGCGCTCCCGAGGCCTGCGGAGAGCAAGGAACCTCTCTCAGAGCAGAGCATTCCCAGCCGTGTCTCTCTCAGTTCACTGTTTTAAGTTTCTTGTCTGGTACTTCCTGGTGGTTCTTGGCCTGTCTCCGTTTCTGGCACGCTGCCCCCGTGTTCTCCCCCCCAGTCAGTCTGTCCAGCACCAGGGCCGTCTCCTTCAGGAGCCGCAGCTCCCGCTTCTCCTTGCGCTCCTCCATCTCCACGATGTCATCTGCAAACAGAGCCTTCAGCGGCGGGATCAGCTTCGGGATGGTTGGGAAGTCACCGAAACGTACCTGAAACACAAGCACGAGAGCGCCTGCATGAGAACTCCTCTTTATTTCCCTTCCTCCCCCTTGCCCGTGGCCTGTGCAGCTGGCAGGGCACTGCCCCTCCCTGTGTGCACACCCACACCCAGCAGCCCTGGCTCGGCAAGTTATTCACACTTTCTCCACAGAAATGCTGTGAACCAGTACAAGTTCTGATTGACGGGGAGCTGCCCTCACTGCCACAACTGCCTGCAGCCCAATGGTAGCAGCTTTTGCCTCCCAGATGCCTGCTGCAGAGAGCCATTGAAGCAGCACACAAACTGAAAAGGGAATGGGGATGGAAGCAAAATTAGGTTTTCGGCTGGGAGTAGCAAGCAGACTTGAGGTGCGTGAGGGAAGTACTCAGTCAGTGTGTTAAGAGTCAGATTCAAGAGCCATCAGCACCTGCCTCACCCTGTGCCACCCTTTCCCCACACTGACGATGTCTGCTGCCAGCAGTTAAAGGAGCTGTTTTAGAGGAGACTGCTCTTCAGGAGATGGAGTATCGATACAACTGGAAAATTTAAATCATGAGCAGTCATCCTAAAGTAACACTGCAACCTTTCCCACGGCCTGGCCCCAAGCTCCCAACTCACCCTCATGTGGTCGAAGGCAATTCCAACCTTGTCGCTGAAGTCCTCGCTGAAGAGCGGGATCTTGGCGTACCTCTGGCTGAAGTGGTTGAGCATGATGAATTCTGCATTCATCTTCATCCCCGTCTGGATTGCCTGGGAGGTCGTGCTGCAAAGGAAGCAGGAGCACATCCTGGTCACACACAGGTCACATCACACCAACTGACATCACCCCTGCTGGGCCCCGGGGTCCCCACAGGCACACCCTGCTCCTCTCCCTCGGGCAGCCAGCACTGGGGGCAAGTCTCTGACTTCCAAAGGGCAGAAAAGCAGCTGTAATTACTTGGAGGTCTGCCTTTAAGAGCTCCACAAGTCACTGGGGACAGGGACTTTTCCAAACACTTGTCCCAGAGGTGCCAGCACACCCAGCTCTCTTGCACTGTGATTTGCAGGTAATTCCATGCAGATGCTCTCAGGTCTCCTCGTTTTCTGGGGGCAGCACAAGGAATCCCTGGCTGCAGAACTCACTGGAATTGCAAGTTTAGTTACAAGGACAGGATGACCCTTCTATCCCCTGAGCTTAGGCCCAAGATGTAATCAAGTAGGGGGTACTCTATCTGTAGAGTTACTGCTGTCTACTTGACAGCTTTCCCCATCTATTCTGGGGGACGTTGAGAGGAGCTGCAGTGGTTCCAGAGCTGCTGCAATGAGCACACACCATTTTTAGTGTGGAAAAGCTCTGCACACACCAGAATCTTCTACAGGACTTGGGCCCTTCACCCCTAGCTCCAAGAACAACACCAGCTCAGCACATTTCCCTTCCTAACAGAGACAGACAGCAGAACACACCCCACCTGTGGGTCTTCTCTATAGCTTCTTTTTCCAGGCCATCTTCCAGTGTGGCTTCGTGGATCAGCAGGGTGGCATCTTTACCTGTGTAAACCATAATATATTCAATTTTCAGTTGAAGGCTGACTAGTCCAACTGCCTACATGAGCTCTCCTTTTCCCCCCTCAGCCCCTCACTGTGTGGCAGGCGCAGCACCAAGGGTTTGGGGGTGCCCATGTCAGATACTTCTCCAAGAGGTCCTTCAAGGAGAAGGTTTTATCACCTACCCATTTGCACTAAGGCCATGCAGGGCATTGTGTCCCCAGAGTAGACTACTTTCCAGCCAGACTTGTGGATCAATGAACACGCAAAAGCATTTTTACAGTGCTGGACTTCACAGGTCTGAAACTGAACACAGACACAAGTGTTAGAGCCCAGGTCCTCTCCTGCCCCTCGCAGCCACGGAGCCCCCAGCTCAGGAACTCACCTCAGCCAGGTCGTAGCTCTCTAACAGAGAGCTCACAAACCCCTTGGCTTTAGGTCTGATGTTCTCACAGCCTTTCACAAGAGACTGAGAAGGAATCATTCTGTGAGGGAGAGAAGCAGAGAGAACTAAGGACAGGCACAAAGTAAAACCCAATCTAATCTTTACGGCAGCTGATTTCTCCCGTTTCTCCTCTTCAGTTCTCCTCTCTCACTTTACAAACAAGTGTAAGGTGTGCTTTGGTACACCTGTTATTCCCCCTGTAACTCTTCCTGCCCTCTGCAAACTGCACATCCTCATTCTACAGGCAGCAGAAGGACTCAGAGTCACCTCCAGTGAAGGGGCTGGGGAATGGGTGACGGGTTTTGCCTTAAATAAGGACCCAGCAAGGACTTCTCTCCACACACCACACAGAACTCTCACCTGATGTCTCCGAGAATCTCCTCACAGTGGTTGTGGTACTCGTGTAGCCAAGGCATGATCTGCTCAGGTGCTACCAGAAACAGAGGGCTGAAAGCCTGACCAAGGGCTGCCTGGAAAAGCAAAGGTGGGGGAAAACATCAGTACTAGGTGTACACAAAATCAGAAAGAAGAAATACCTAGGGAAGTGCTGGTGCTTCTCCACTACTCAGAAATTCCTCTCCCCTCACCCCAAGCCAAGTTCAGGAGCCCCAGGGCTACTCACAAAAGCTCTCCTTCGCTCCATCAGGATGTTCACCAGCCCCTGCAAAGGAAACAAGCAGGACACAGGCTGCAGTCAGAAATGTCTGGGGAGGGAGAGGCAACAGTACTACCACAGCTCAGCAAGCCTGGAGTCAGAACAAACCTGCAGTCAGAAATCCTTGATTACTGCTTTTCAATAACTGCAGCTTGCTGAGCTGCTGTAACACTGACACTGCTTATGCCCCAAGCTGGTGGCCAGAAGCCCCCAAGGCCCTCAACACTTCCCAGAAGGGTGGAGAGCAATAAGTCCCTATCCAGCTCCTCAGACCCAGTGTGACGGCCAGGGAACAGAGCAGCACACA